GGCTGCACACTCAGGCCTGTGCTGGGCTCTGTGGGTAGAACTTGAAGTAGGGATCCTAGTCTCTTTGGTCTTAGTAATTCTATCTTGCACCTACTTTGCCTTACCTGCACCAGAGCCTTGGTAAGTGTTTGTTGAGTGAATAAGTCTCTTGAATCCCAGCCCAAGGTTTCTTTATCTTCACTATGGCTGCCTTCCATAATTATCAGCCTCCTTGAGTAACTAATAGCACTTTCAGACAGAAATAAGTTCTTTCATGAGCATTCAGAGAGTGAGTTGTATCTTTGGTTTTCCCAACTCTGGGCAGCAGAATCCCAAGACTAATAAGTGCAAAAAGGTTCATGCCATCCAGAAATCCATATACAGTATCACCAATGACACAAGGAGAGAGTCTGTACCAAAACAAGGCAAACACAATTCCCAATTGAAACATCTTTGATGAGGCAATACAGGATGAGTTACAGGCTCACATATCAGGGATCCACTTCCCCAAAGGCCCACTGAGACTCCTCATCTCTGCTGAGATGATTCTTTTCTGTCCAGCTGGGAGGACTTCTGCGGATTCCATCTTGCTCTTGTGCCCTGAGGCCAGTTTTCTATTGGAATGTCTAGTTCTCCTTATAGCGGCCTTATTATTGATTTAACATTTGCTGAAAGTAGTATTTAGAAGCCACCTTTATTTCTAAGGAAGCCTTTGCTCCTTCCTTATCTATTTGTCAGAATAGTGACTGGGCAGCTGCTCACCTCCCTGGAAGACGCAGGCTCCATGTCCACCTCTGTGCTCCCTTTGGCTGCTGCATTATTTCTGGAAGCTCAATATCCTTCCATGAACGTGAAGTGGGATGAGATTTTAAACTACTAGTATTTGCATGGGAGCAGTGACATATACTTTATGTCTGCATTGTGAATGACTTTTCTCCGTTGGGGAAAACCACACCACCATGATCCATTTCTCTGTAACAATGATATTGTGCAGCAGTAGCTTGGGATGCCAATCCACTTCAAAACCAGTAGGAGATGGGCTGTAATCTTCGCCTCTTTATTAATTTTTGTTGTCCTTGTCAAACTCTTTAAATAGTCATATCTTTACAATATCATGCACTGGCATTTCCTAATATGAAGGAGAGTTATATAAAGTTCCTGTGGCATTATTCTTGGAAAGGTAAGAAAGTAGAACTGGGGATTTCATCTGTTCCTTGTGTTGACCAATTTAATCACTCTAGAAAAATTATATTATTTTTAATAATAAAAAATTGCACTACCTAACTTTTTGTTGATTTCTTACTATGTGCACTTTTCTAAGCTCATTTATAAGAATTACATATCTAAATCACTAGTAAAACACTATGAGATAGGTAGTATCCCCATTATTCAGAGAAGGGAATACATCAGGGAAATACTGAATAACTTATCTAGTTAATAAGCAGCAACAGCAGGACTTGAACTTGAGTGGTGCCTCTGGGATGGGATGGTCACTCTGGGCTCCAGCCTTATGTTGCTGACACACATTTGTTTCCCAAAAGTCTTTTTTTCATAGACTAGTGTTTTCATTTTGTATTGTTGCATAACAAATAGTCCCAACGTAGAGGCTTAACACAATAAATTAGTTGTGTTAAACGAGAAACTGAGGCATATTTAAATTTAAGAGTTTATATGAGCAAACATTGATTCACATCAGACAGTGTGAAACCAGAAGTGGTTAGGAGCCCTCTTCTGACAGGAACTAGGGGCAAGAGTTTGGCGATAAGGCACAGAAGCAAGACAAGAAAATTATTTGATTGGCTATAGATTAAGCTGTGGGTTTATTTGGAAAAGACTAGTTGGCTGTTTGTGACTGGTTTTCCTTAGGTTTTGATTTCTTAACCGTGAGGCAGCTACAGGCTTAGGCTTTGGTTTGCTGACGTAGGCTACTAAGGCATCAAGGCCACCTCAGTCTAAGGGCCTCTGTGTTTAATTAATTTAGCAGTCCTCAGCACTGTAGCTAAGCTAGACAGTTCTTTTATTGCTCTTGCTTGGAATCTCCCATGGGGCTGTGGTCAGAGGGTGGCTGGGCTGGAATGCTCAAGACAGATACACTAATGTGTCTGGTGCCTGGAGGGCATGGCTGGAAAGCTGGGCTCAGCTGGCACAAATGTCTGAGCCTCTTTTCTCTCTGCGTGGTTTCTGGACTCTCCATTTGTCTCCATGGATCTGACTTCATTCATGGGTGCTCAGCGCTCCCAAGAGCACAAACACAGAGGCTGCCAGGCCCTCCTGGATCTGGAACCGGCACACTTCTGCTGCCTTCCTTTGGTTACATTGAGTCACAGGGCCAGTCCAGATTCAGTGTGGGAGTGGATTGGTATATGATAGGGATTCAGCACCTGGGGTCTAGAGGACAGCTGTGAATTAAAACCCTGCTGTGCCACATTTCAGCTGTGTGATGTTAGGTAAGTTCCTTAGTCATCTCTCAGCTTCTAGTTCTTTCCCTTTAGAGAGGGGAGCTAGTTGCTACCACTAATTGAATAACATTCTGTGCCAGGCACCATCCTAAGCACTTTACATACGTAAAATTTGTTCTCATTAAATTTGTTCAGAGACCCTATGCAGTGGCTACCATTGTCCTTTCAAATTCACAGTCAGAGAAATTCAGATACAAAGAGATGACATCATCACCCCACGGTCACATGGCTGGCAAGTGTCAGTCCTGGGATTTGAACCCAGACAAGTTCCATGCTCCCTAGCCCAACTCTTCATTATGCTTTGCAGTTCTCTATCGTAGCCATCTCCCAGGACAACATCAGTGAGATGGTTGTTCTTGTCAAAATCTTTTGGTTTGCTGACATAGGCTACTAATGTCACCAGTGTTTCATTCCTTGGCTAAGATGAGCACACGCTGTTCATTTCCATTTTGAAAAATATGATTCTATGTAATATTCCCATTTCAAACATATTTGGGCCCATCTCAAATATAATTGGTTTCCTGGATTTTCATCTTTGTCTACAGCTGAGGGAGTCTTTCACTTTCCTTCTAGGAAATCACTTTAGATTGATGCTCCATGTCTAGCACATATATCACTGTGGAGACCAATCTATTTGTGCTCTGAAAAATGCTGCTGATTTTTTAGGCTTTGATTCCCATTCCTGAAGCTTCATTGCTCGGTTTAAGATCCACCGGTCCTGGTCACTTCAGCAGGATACGGATAATATAAACCAATGCTGTCTGTTCAGACTTTTCTACCCTTGTCTCTGGGCGCTTAGGTTTGGGCTGTTTCCTGTCATTATGAATGAGTTTGTTTATCTGCTTCCTCCCTCACCCTTCCAACTTACTCATCAGGGTTTTGTGATTTACTGATTGTTGACTGTCTAATGGTATTTTTTTCCCCCATAGTATTAAGACAGCCTTTCTGCTGCTGGGTCTTGCTGAGCATAGCTATACATAAAGTTTAAAAAAATATTAGGCATTTTCCTTGAGTCCTTTTTTGTTCTATCTCCCTATATCTAAGTCCCACTGGCTCTGCCTCTAAAATATATCCTGTTTGTTTCCTTTCCACTGCCAACAATGGCACCCCTTAGAACATTTTTTAATGGTATCAATACAGAGATGCCTCCTTTTAACTTACATACATAGAGATCTGTTTTGAATGCTGGCTCAGCTATAGGAGGAGAACCCTCAGAGTTGCAAAAATCAGCCACATTATTATGCATTTTCTAGAACTTCATGCTGTGTGCTCCTGAATGACTCCATGAGTTATGTGTGAAGCTGGGGGTGATGGGGAACCCACTTGATTATATTATGTTTTCCATAGCTCTGTCATAGTAGCCTTATGATCTCTGTTCTCCAGTGAGTGGGCTGGGAATGATCAGTGACATAAAATAGCCAACATTTTCTCCTCACGTAGCCTCTTAACCACTTTGCATGGGCAATAGCTCCCATTAATTCCTTCAGTGGTAGTAGGGATTTATGATAAACATTCTGAATTCTGAATGCCATAGCTAGCATTTTTTCTCAGTTTCCTTACCATTTCCAATGAGGAGGTTCAGCTTCTTCATGAAGTTCATGTTGCATTATTGTTTGTGTGCTTCAAACATTTTGGTCTCATCTCAAATTGATGTAACCCATATTTCTAATATTTTAAAGCAGTTTGAAAGTAGAAATGAAAAGAAAGAGAGAGAAAGTAAAAATTCTGTAGCAGTAAAAAAATTGCAAGTGCTGACTATTTCTAGACCTAAATGATAAGAGATAAAATTGGAAAAGCTGACTGTTTCTAGACCTACCTGATTAGAGATAAAATTGCAAAGAGGCTTTGAGCAATGAGACCCACTAAAATTTTTCAGTTAAAGTAACTTAGCCAAGTGGAAACAAATAAGAATAAGAAAGTGGCCTTCTTATCTATTGCTTCAGATAATTTCATGGTTGCCATTAAGAGAGAAGGCACCAAGGAAGAGAAAGCAAGGAATCAAGCTAGACTGGAAAACACTTTTTAGAAAGAACTTCGTGTGTGCACTGAAACATGGAACTTAGTTGAAGCAAATGGAATAAAACTCTACCAAGTTTTTAAGGGAGGTGAATTGCTAAGAAAACATGAACCTGGATTCGAAAAGCTTTTGACCATTGAGACCTAAAACAAATGTCAGGCCAGCATACTTACACCAGCAGGAGTCTGGTGGAAGGAGATGGGCAACCCTCAAAGAGTGCGTGCTCCTCCAAACCCACTTTAGATTTGGTCATTGTGGATAATCGAAAAGAGATCTCTTTCAAGAGGGAAGAGTCAGAGGTGACAGAGTATGACTAAAAAAGAACTCTTGCTAGAAAGCAGAATCAGGGTCTAATAAAGGAGGTTGATCTGAGGCCTTTATAATGTTCTCGCACCATGATTTCAGAATTGCTATGGACCATGACGGCTGTGTGTTTTTGTTTCCCCCTTTCTGAATAGGGGTTTTAATTAGCTGTTACTCTGCCATTGTGTCACCACTGTATACTGGATATATGTAAGTGGATGGGTGGTAACTTTATTTTTTAGTTCATAGGTCACTGGACCACAAGGAGGAAACCTGATGAAGGATCATTAGTGATTTTGAGCTTCAACTGGACGTGGTTGGTTATAGGATAAGTATGGAAGGAAGATTGAAAAGGTATTTGGTGACTAGTACAGCAGACGATGTTAGAGACTGGTAGGGTTTACCAAATCCTGTTTCCTTTGCCTCCTAGGTACATATAATCTACTCACTTAAAGTTAAATGGAGCCATGGGACTGAATTCTGGCTTGGATCGATAACCTTGACATGCATTAAAATGTGATATGAACACAAAATAAGCCTTTATTATCTTACCTAATAATAGATAAACATGTAAATTGACCATCCCTCCACTACACTCACCAGCCAATCAGGAGAGTATGCAAATTAACCCAACAAATATGGCGATTAATTTGCATACATAAGCACGAGGCAGCAGAGCGAAGACTGAAGGCTCCGGCCGGAGCAGTGAAGGCCTGGGTCCCGGGTGCCTGAGGAAAACTGATGCTGGCAGCCAGGGGAAGGGAAGGCCTATTGCATGAATCTCTTCGTGCAATGGGCCTCTAGTTTTTTATCTAATAAAAGAGTAATATGCAAATTGACCATTACTCCAACACACAAGATGGCCACCCCCATGTGGTCAAAGATGGCCACCACAAGATGGCCGGCAGGGGAGGGCAGTTGGAGGGAACCAGGTCTTCAGGGGAGGGCAGTTGGGGGTGACTGGGCCAGAAGGGGAGGACAGTTGGGGGTGACCAGGCCTGAGGGGAGGACAGTTAGGGGCAACCAGCCAGCAGGGGAGGACAGTTAGGGGCGATTGGGCCTGAGGGGAGCAGTTAGGTGTCGATCAGGCTGGCAGGGGAGTGGTTAGGGAGTGATCAGGCTGGCAGGCAGAAGTAGTTAGGGGCAATTAGGCAGGCAGGCAGGTGAGCAGTTGGGAGCCAGCAGTCCTGGATTGTGAGAGGGATGTCCGACTGCCTGTTTAGGACCAGGCCTAAAAGGGCGGTTGGACATCCCTCAAGGGGTCCCAGATTGAAGAGGGTACAGGTTGGGCTGAGGGACACCACCACCCCCGTGCACAAATTTCGTGCACCAGGCCTCTAGTTTTAAATAATCCACTAAACAAACCTTTATTCTGTTGAGATTTTTGGGATCACTTGTTTCCACAATTAGCCCATCTTGACCAATGCAGTATTCAAAGCTTTACACAATGAAACATGCAGGATATGTGTTTGTTTTACCTATTACCCTCCATTTTTTTTTCACCAAGTAATCAAAGAGGACTTCTGTGGCTAAAAGCTTACTTCTGATTGAGACTGGATTTTCTTTACTGCCTCATATTTTTCTTGTCCCCTGAAGTCAGTTAGTATTATTGAGTGTTTAACCCAGATTTACTACTTCCTAGCCGTGCAATTTTGGGTACACATTTTTTTAAATTGATTTTGGGGAGAGAGAAAAGAAGAGAGAGAGAGAGAAAGAGAAACACTGATGTGAGAGAGAAACATCAATTGGTTGTGTCCCATAGGTGCTCCGGCTGGGGATCAAACACCTAACATAGAATCAAACCTGCACCCTTTCGGTGCACTGGAGGATGCTCCAACCAACTGAGCCACCCAGAGTGAGCCACTTCCTCTTCAGTGTACTGGAATGGAAAATGGCTGCCACTGCACACTTGCTCCTCATTTTTCTGGCTCTGTTCCCAAGGTACACTGCCATCTCAATTCCAATAGTATATAGGCTGCACTTGCAAGACTCAGGAGGTTTAGATTCCCTTCCCTTCTTTTCTCACCTATGAGAACAGAGATTGAAATTATACCAGTGATGGCCTCATCTATCCCCCACACCATCCATTTAGATGGTTTACCTGTATGTCTGAGCTAATGTCCTTTGCCCACATGACTGAAGTGGGCCATCTCCCTGGCCCACATTCCTTAGTGATGCTAACTAGGCAGGCACACCCACTTGCCTTGGCATGTTTTGTAGATGACCCAAGCTGCAAACACCAACATGTATAAAACATATGCTCTTTTTGTATAATTTTAGGCACCAAAATATGCCTACACATCAGGGTGTGTGCATACAGACACACACGTATTCTTTTTGCCTGGTAGAAATATGCTTCTGTGGTGTTCCTTCTACTCCCACACATGCCCCTCCATGGCTGGCACATCTCCTAATTATTCCCATCTACTCCCTCCCCATAGACCTTTTGTGTGTATTTTTTGGCACACATCCTCTTGATTCTGCCTAGTTCCTTTTTCTCTCTCTTCCTCTGCCTCCCTCTCTCTCCCTCCTCTTCACAACTCTTTTAGAAAATTTGTTAAACTATACACTCTTTATTATTAATGCACATTTATGAAAAATTCTTCACAGTTACAAAAGTGCAAGGTTATAAAATCATCTCCATACAAAGGTTGGCGTCTTCCCTTTCCCCATCCCTCCCTAACCCTCCCACCCCAGACATCAGCATTCCTCAGGACAGCACTCAGAAAAACAGAGCTCTGTGGCTCTAGGTCTCTCCACCCAGCACTGTGACAAACATGATGGTAATGTACACAGGACCTTGCAACTTGCCTCTTTCACTTCTCTTTTGCCTCCTTCTTGGGTGGGGAGAGCAGACAAGTTTCTCTAGCTTTGGGAAGAATGGACAAAAATATTTCCTTTCTAGAGCTGGAAAAAATGCCAGAGCTGTATCAACAAAGAGATCTATAGGGATTGTAAGTCTTCCCTGATGGTGGAAGAGAAATACTTGTTTTGGTCTGTGATCAAATTCCATACACCAACCTCCTTAAAAGGAGCCAGCAGACTCTATAGGAACTCTGGGGACCCATTTCTGCAGGGTTCTCTGGGAATCTTTATAGGAATGGGGAAACAATGGAAGCAATCTGAGGGTGATCAAAAGAAACTGGTCCAAAGTGATGTGGTGTAAATGTGGGGTCTTTTCTAAAGAACAATGGCCCAGAACTTGACTATCACAGCACTGTTGGTTAACTAAACTTTGATATCCTCAAGCCCATGAGGAAGCTTCTTTGATTAGGATAATCTCTGAGGGATGGAGAACAAAGGGAAGTATTCAGGATCTCATTAGTCTGCCTCTACCACATCTCTCTGTTTTTATATTTTCCAAACAGGTAGCTATCCCTACTCAAACCCTAATGGGATTCCATATTAGTGTAGTAAGCAATGCAATAAACAGATGGCTGAGCAGACTATTGGAGAACTGAAGTCAAGTTCCAGAGAGTTTGGCCCCATATCAGTAGACACCTAAAACATGAAACCTCATGAACAGACACATGGATTCAGAGATACTCCAACACTTACATGTTAATTAATCTGGAAAAAACTTAATGACACCTTGTGGGATCACCATCTTGGGTTCTTGGTCAGCAGCACTATGGGAACTGTTTCAATTGGTACTGCTAGATTCCCTCTAGAAGTGTGCCTCTAGAAGCTTGCTTCTGATAGTCTGTACAAGATACTGGTGGTGGGAGGTGAGGGAAGTTTCCTCATTGTGCTTTAGTTAACTGGGGGCCTTCTAGCAGCTGGGGACCTTCTAAAATCCATGTATCCTACTCATTAACAGGGACTAAATAATCTCATTAGAAAGGACATTTGATCTCAAGGGTCATTTGGTGTCTTGTTTGGTTCTAGTTCTATGCAAAAAACAAGTACATATCTTAAAATATATTAACTATATTTTAGCAAACAAGAGTGTCTAGGAGATTATCATAGATGCATATGATGTTCTTCTATGGGAGGCTTAACTATTTGTATCAGGACTATTATTTCTACAAGAACCTTTCCAAATACCTTAGACTGTGAGATTGACTAGTGGAGGGCAGCCCCAATCCACCTGTCCTGGACATAGCGGAAGAAGAGATAGGGCACAGTTCTGCTCCAGATGTCACGAGAGCAGGGCTCTGGCCTGGATGTTGTAAGCGAGATTCAGGACACACAAGGTTCAAGTACCCCAGGTCTAACAAAGTTCTGGGTACTCTTTTGAGTTGACTAGCTTAGGGAGCATGAGTAAGAATTCTTGGAAGATGATATGTTTTTCTTTCATTCCTTCAAGCCTGCCAGGAAGATGGGATGATACAAGTCTGCTGGAGCTGGGGACAAGGTAGGAAGCCCCTGTTTTAATTTATATCCTGGCCAGCATTGGCAACATGTTGGACTGTGCCTTAAAGTCTTCTCCTATCATGCAGAGGTTCTTACCCACACTTTCTGACACCCTTTGTCTCTCTTGCAACACAGCACAGCAGGGCTTAAATAGAAGGGGTTAACACAGATTTCTCTCCTGTTTCCCAAAGGTCTTATTTTTTAGATGGCTAACATTTCTAATGCATTATTTGTACATTGCAAGGCAGGTGACTCTTATTCAGGTATTGCCTGCGCTGCTTCTAAGTTTCAGAGGCTGTGATTTGCCCTACCATGAGCATATCTAAATCTGTACAGCAGCTAGGTTTTTACTGTCCTTTAGATAGCTGATCTACTAGGATGTTTCATGGCTGCTGAGTCCTAGGGCCCCACTATCCAGCCTCCCAGGCATTCTCTTCCCAAGCACCTGGGGCACTACTGGAAAGAGAGCCGAGTTGGAGTTGAGTCTCAACCTTGCCGTTTAGGCAAGTTACACCCGCTCTTGAGTCTCTATTTTTTTTTTTTTAATCTGTAAAATAGGAGAAATGATGGCTTGCCTGCCACACAGGGTTGTGGAGTTAGGAAGAATAACGCCAAAGCACTTCAGGAACTGTCCAGTGCTGAACAAATGTAGAGAAGATGATGATGAAGCTGATGACACTGATAATGAAGATGACGACAATGATGATAATTGTGCTTTATACATGAAGATACTTGCTTTTTGATGGACTGATTAGACACAGTTTCCCTGACTAGAGCTACCTAACACCTTCCTTCTAGAGTTTATCTGGATAACCTTGGGTAAGATATTTAGCTTTCAGCAATGAATTCATCTGTAAAATGGGAATAATAAAAGCCACCAGGCAATGTTGCTGCGAGAACTAATATAAATGAATCAATAGATGTAATAGTTCCCAGAGGAGTGCTGGCTCTTATTAGGAGCTTCATCAGCACTACTTGACTTTGAAGTTATATACTTTTGAAGGGAATTGTAATGTTTTCTTACTTGACTGGGGTAGTTGAAAGAGCACAGACTTACTTTGCTCATAAGTATCACATAACCTTGACCTCTCTGGGCCTTACTTGCCCATCTGTAAAATGGGAACTTTAATGCTCACCTCAGAAGATTGTTATGTGCATTAAAGGAAATTGTGGAGAGCGTTTATCACAGTGTCCAACACTGGCAAGTGTTTGGTAGTAGCTCTCTCACCTTTATGCTTAAGTGAGTGAGTTGTTTCGAAGAAGGAGCAAATCCTCCTTCAGTCCTGTACTATCATGCTACAGGGATGCAGCCCACAGTGCACTTTCCTGGTGACATTCCTTGGCATGAGCACTGTGGCAAGAATAGTTACGAGATTAGGAGTCCGAGTGCCAGGACTCAAGCTGTTCTTTCCTGGGCCTCCTGCTTCTTTCTTCTGAAGCCAAAGCTGGAGTGAGAGGCAGAAGACAGAGGTGGGAGAAAGGGCACTGAAGGTGTCCTCAGCTTTCTACCTGGGACCTTGCCAGCAGGCTACAACTGGTGATCTAGTGTGGGGGGCAGTCACTGGGAGGTGGTCTCACCTGTTACTGCTGGTAGGAGGCAGCCAAGGGGCTTGGCATTGGAGAGCTCTCTAATGGAATGGAAAGCTCTCACCCTCTGGAGGCAATGGTAGGCAGCTCTGAGCAATGGCAGGTGGGTGTCAGAGGGAAAGTTTTTGTTCTGTGCCACTTTCCTTCTGTACACTGAGGTCCCAGGGATTGTTCACCATGGTCCTCAATGTACCACACATATTCTGGCCTCTATCATTTGTGTATGTACACCCTTCTTGGTCTACTTGACAAAGCAGACAGTTTTGATGACCCAGCTCACAAATCACCTCTACTCTTATTCTTCTCTTGAACTTTTTGAAGCACAGTTGATAACCCCTCCTATGGGCTTCCATAGCTATGTACTCAGAATGCCAACAGATTGTCTTAAAGGGAATATTTTCTGATTCTTTCTCCTCTAGCAGAGGGAAGTGCCTTGAGGGCAGGAACTAGGTGGCTTCATCTAACACTGCCAGTTCCTAGCACAGTGCCTGGCCCACAGTAGAAGCTTATTCAAAAGTAGTTTCCTGACATTGCTTGAGCTATGACAGAGGTGGCCAGGGCACCATGGGGCTAGAGTGGGCAGCCAGGAAGAGTGTGTCTGGTATGAACGGCAGTGGTGGTCAGCAGCATGGAGAGGATGCCAGGCACCCACATCAGATCTCTTCCTCTTCACTGGCTTTGCTCCAACGGTGGCAGCAGTTGGCTGTGATGCCCAGGAGGAAGTTGGTGGCCACAGATGCGATGGATACTACGAAGCCCACAAATGCGATGAAGAGGTAATCATCCAGGGTCAAGGTCAGGTGACAAGCCTTGAAGCTCTCTTCAGTGAGGGAGAAGAGTGGGGCACCCTCAACCTCAGGGGGGCCCCGGCACTCAGCCAGCTGAGAATCTGCAACACAGAACCCAGGGAGGGTGAAAGGCCTCGGGAGACAGAATGGAATGGAGAGCACCCACCCTACCCAAGAGCAGTTTAGTTTCTTTTGTACCAAAATTTTTACTTACCTTCTTTAATCCCCTCAACAGCCCTCAAGGCAAACATTTTTATACCCATTTTTTATAGAAGTGGCGATCACTGTTAGGAGAATTTAGTAACTTGTCTGAAGTCCAATAGCCACTATTAATAATAGAACTGGGGCTTTTGTGGGATACCATTGTCTCTTATATAAGCCTTCCAACTGATCTCTGGGCTTCTGCCTTTAAACCATCTCATCACAGTGGCTGAGTGATCCATTTAAACCTGAAGTCCTGTCATGTCACTCTCTGCTTCTTATCTTCACACAGACTGAAAGCCAAGGTCCTCACCAGGGGCTGCAAAGACTTCTCCCCATTGCTTCCACTCTACTCCTTGCTTACTCTGTTTCATCCACTCAAACTTCCTGGTCATTATTCCACACCCGAGCTTGTCCCCTCTTGGGTAGGGAGGGGGTGCCTTTGCATTTGTCCCCTGGTGATGATGGTTCTCTTCTGCATCTCTGCACAGCTCAATTCCTCATGTCCTTTGAGACTTTGCTCAAATATCACCTTATTGGACTTGCCTTATGATACACTGTAAAAGAGTATCCCCTAAGTCATCTTTCCTAGGCATTTCCTGTCTTAGCTACTCTGCCTAACTTTTCTTGATAATGTTTAACACTGTCTGACAGCTTCTTTATTATCTATCTCCTCCACCTTGAATATAAGCATTTCCCATAGTATCGTTAGCGTCAGAACCATGTCCTGTCCATGTAAGTGCTCAGCGAATCTTTGTTAAATGCGTATGTGAATAAATGATTCTGTCCAACTCTGAAGCATTGGGTCTTTATACTACCTTATGTGGCTTTTCCAGATACACAAAGTGTAGGGTTAAGAGTGTGGGCTCTGGAGCCATTGACCTGGGTTCAAATCCCCTCTCTATCTCTCCCAAGTTGTGTGATTGAGGATAAGCCATTTAGCCCCTCTGTGTCTTGGCTTCTTCATCTGTAAAATGAGGATAATAGTAGTATCTACCTCATAGGGTTGGTATGAGGAGTCTATGAGTTAACATATAAATGATATGTTCTTGGTATATAGTAAGTATTGCGTAATGTGTGCTTTTATTATTACCCTATTTTGATCTTTTTGGACAGGTCAGAGGGGGCTTCTCCTTCATTGGTTTACCATTCTCTCCATCATTGATGGCCCAGGGTCACATGTACAAATCCTTCTAGGTTCACATGTACAAATGCTTGATGACTGTCAATGGTTCCATTGTACTCTGCCTTAGGAGTAGGTAGCAGTTTGCCATTCCTTTGTTCAAATTAATTAAGTTCTCATCTTGGACAAGTTTTTTTTTTTCCTTTCTGGCTTTCATGAAGAAAGGGGACACATAAAAAAGAGATAGTCTAACTTATTGTCTAGGAGAGTCAATGTGAAGATGTGAAGGATTTTTCTAAATTATATGGTGCAAAATGCTTTTTACTCATTCTGTAGATTTTGGGGCCAAAGAATAAAATCGTGGATTTGGATTGACCCTTTGGAGAAATGGATGAGCATCATTATCCTTAGAAATGGGGAGCCAGGTTCAGAAAAAGAATTCAATCTGTCCCCAACCTCAGGTTGAGGTGGGTCCCTGTAGGCTGTATGCAAAGTACTCTAGACCCTGCCCAGGACAAGACTGTATCTGGAGTTGACCATCAAGAGGCTCTTCTTTTGGAACTGGAAGATGCTGAACTCCCAAGTCTACTGTGTGGCTGGGTTTGGTGAGACAATACAAAGCTGGGGAGTGTGGAGACAGTGAGGGTAATTGGTGTGGACCAACCAGAGGAGGCTCCAAGGGCATGTGGTTGGGCCCTGCAGGAGTGCAGGATGAAAGCCTGGGGCTGACAAAACTCCCTGGCAAGTCAAAGGACCAGTCTTGAAGTTAAGTTATATCCCAAGGGCACCCTTATGTTTCTCTGTGTTGCGATTTGTCTAAAAGTTGTGGATAGTATTTAGAGTCCCATGAAAAATGGAGAAGAAACCAAAAAAAGACAGAGGGCAGAGGATTGCCTAATCCTACCTACACTGGTAAGTTCTTCACCTCCAAGAGGAAGTATCCTGGAGTGTGGTGTGATACAATGGGTGTTCTGTGGAGGAACGGGGAACATGGGTTTCTAGCTGTGGTATACTTGTGTTCTCACTGTTGGTTTGCAGACAGTCACTTTCCCTTCTGGAACTTGAGTCCCTCATCTGTACTGACATGAGTCCTTGGTGATGGGATCTTGGATCCCTCTCCCACTCATTGGGAATTTGAGCTTTTTCTGAAGGGTAGCAGGAATCTAAGAGATTCCAAAGAAGGAGGAGTCCAGGTGTGGTGGAAGCTTAGTGCTTAGAGTGCCCCCTCTGTTTCTAGTGCACAGGAGAGAGGGGAGCAGATGCAGCTCCAAAGGTTGAACAGGTGGGGGGATCGCTCCAGGCAGCCTCCCCCCCGACCCCCTTACCATCGCCCTATCTCAGTCCCCAGCTATTTTGGTCCCAGAGAACATCCTCCCACAGCTCTGTGGAAACATGGGAATCGTGACCCACAGCTCCCCCAAGCTATTTTGGTCCCGGACTCCCCACTCAGTCCTCCTCTCCCTCCTACCTCATTCATCATCACTTCTGAACACACTGTGAGCCCAGGCTCTGGGACATCCCCTGGGATATTGCCCTCAGCTATTTCTGTTATTTTACTGCTGGGGCTCATGCCAAAGCTGAGTGCTGTCACACAGGAGAGCTGGTGACGGGGGCCACGACTGAATATTGCCTGCCTCCAGGCCAGTTTTGGACACCAGTGGGTGAGTCCAGGGCCCATCAAACCTTCATGATTCAGGCTCCTTCAGTTCCCCAATCCACCCCTGGTTGGAATTGTCTGGTTAAATCATCACATCCTAGTTTCTCCTCTCAACTCTCCATCTCATGCTCAAATCTTGTGGAACTCTGCTGAGACCCTTTGGCCCAGAACTTAGGCCAGAACTCATGCCCTGACTCTCCTGCTAGCCTATAATGGACTCTTCGGGGTACAGCCAGAGGCAGCCGGACTGCAAGGGTTGATTTCTGACTTCAAACACTTAGCAGAGCTGTAACTTCAGGCAAGTTACTGAACCCCTCTGTGCCTCAGTTTCGCCCTCTGTAGAGTGGGGATGGCTCATTAAGGTGAGGATGAGATGAGCTAAAATATATAATATGCTTGGAATAGAGCACGGCCATAAGTACAAAAATAAATAGCGTTAACCATTTCTATCTCTGGGAGACTGCCAGCACTCAGAGCACTTAAGCAGTCTTGAAGAGTAGAACAGGACTTTGAAGTCAAATACACTTGAGCTTTATCCATGGCTCTGCCAGTTTGTAATTGAGTGATTCTGGGCTACCCTTTTCATGGTTCTAAACCTCAGTTTCTTCACCCGCAAAATGGGGGTGCTAAGAGTGGGACCATGCATGCCAAGTTCTTGGTCATGGTGAAAGCTCAATAAACACTGTCTATTATGAACTCTTCTTGTTTATTGTCTGTCTGCCTCATTAGGTCATAAGTGCCACAGAGGCAAGGGCAGTGTCTGTTATGTTAATGAATGAATTTCCAGCACCTACTCTACAAAGCAAGGACTCTACAGACACTTGTGGAGCAAAAGAGCTGGGTACAGAGACGCGAGCATAAATCAGGGCACACCGTAGGGGCTCAAGATCTCTAAGTCCTCTCTTCTTTGGAGTCTTTTCTTTCAGTGAGGCCAGAACCCCCCTTTCCCCAGACCCCCAGTCCTGCCCCCTCCCTTACCTGAGGTACAGCGCTGGATCCGGTTCCGCAGCCACTTCAGCAGGGGCTCCATAGTGCAGCCGCACACCCAGGGGTTGCCGCCGATCTGCAGGGTCACCAGCCCTGGCAAACCTTCCAGAGCCTCGAGGCTGAGGAAGGCCAGACCCCCATAGCTGAGGTCCAGGTCTCGGAGCTGCATCAGGCCCTGGAAGGCCTGCGGGTGCACCCTGCGCAACCACGGGTTGTGGCTCAGGTCGATGTGCACCAGGCCATGGGCTTCCTGGAACATGTCGGCTGGCACGTGGCTGAGGTTGTTGTAGCTCAGATCCAGGTGTGCCAAGCGCTTGGCATGGAGGAAGAGGCCTGGGGGCAGCTCGATCAAGGAGTTGTTGCGTAAATCCAACACCCTGAGCTCCATGTAGCACGTGAGATAGCCCGGCGGCACAGTGGCAATGCGGTTGTGGGCCAGGCTGAGGTTGCGCATGTCCATTGGCAGGTCTGGGGGCACGGAGAATAGCCGTTGGCTGCTGCAATCCACCACCTGGTTATGGCATGTGCAAAGGACGGGGCAGCTGGTGCCCGCGTCCGAGTGCATCACCCCAGCTGCCAAGAGGAGGGAGACCAGGAACACGGCTGGGTTGGGGGGCCCAGGCCAGGGTAGCTGGGACCAGGTATCACCCATCTTAGGCAGCTGGCAGCGGCAGTGCTGAATGGAGCCCACAGGGGCTGGGGCTGTGTCCATAGAGTCAAGAGTCAGTGGCACAGGAAGGCAGCGACATCGGGGCCTAGAGCCCTGGAGGGTGGGGCTTCTGAGCAAGGGTGTCATGACTCAAGCCTTTCCTGGGAGCCTCTGAACGCCAGAGCTCCCTAGGTGAGAGCCACAGGAAGTCCCCTCTGGAGTCTAGGGAGCAAGCAACCCATTTGAGGTCCCCCAGGGTCTGCAGAGATGATCAAAACTTGAGAAAGGAAGGAGGCGAGGATGGGGCTGGACCAGCTGCCAGCAGGCCGTGGAAGGGTCCCTGCAGATCTTTTGTGTCCCTCGCACCCATGACTGCTGGGAGCTTCCTCTTCGTGCTGTGTCTGAGAGATGGGAGCGGGGAGCAAAGGACATGAAAGGGGCCTTTTAAAGGTCCCAGAATGCCTAAAAGTCCCCAGCCCTTCCCAAGTCTGGGATTGATGATCAGGATGCCAGAGCTGCGTCGGGGTCTCCAGCATTCAAGGTCTCAGACGGGATTCTATTGGTGGCCCAGTGGACTCGAGTCCAAGGGGGTCCATGGGTGGGTGCTTTGGGCAGGGAGCCCGAAGTGAAGTGGATCTCCATGGGCCTCCCGAAAGCCCGAGTCCTCGGCCTCAGTGACTATGGTAATCCCCGGGGAGGGGAAGACCCCAAGTGCCACCCATTGTTTGCACTGCTGAGCCTGGAAAGAGTCATGTGTCCTGAAGGTGCAGGAGGGGGCAGCTAGGAGCTCTGGCAACTTCCCAACTTGGTGCTTCTCTTAGGCGGCTTTGCGTTCAGCGGGTGGAGGCAGAATTCCTTCTGGCAACAAGGAAAGCACTCAGGCAGAGGAACGGTGCCCTCTTCTCCCCGTGGCCCCTCTCCCAGGCTTGGGGCCCCCTCCTCCCCCCTCTACTCAAAGGTCTCTGTATACTGTCTGTGTCTCAGGTGGGCTCAGACCCCAACCTCACACGATTGTTACTCGCTAACCTTGTGGGCCCCTTCCTTCAGCCATCCTCCTAAGCGTCTGTCCTGCGCTGGGTGCATTTTCTCATGCTCATAGCCCCACCTCCACCAGCACCAGATACCCCACCCTGCACAACTCTCAAAGAAGAAAGGCATACACACTCTGGCGGATTGCAGACCTCTTTCAGTCCTCTTAGCTCTCTTTCTCTGTCTCTGTCTCTCTGTCTCTCTCTCTGACACACACACACACACACACACACACACACACACACACACACACACACGTTGTTCCACTCCTGTGACTCCAGCACATTTGCCCTGCCCTGCGCTCATGCCTCCCCAGTTTTCTCTCCAGCTTCCTTCTGAACATGCACTCTGCCCCTCCCAGTCTGTCCCCACCATCTTTCACCCCCCAGTGCACACCCCTAATCCTAGCATCCTTTCCCACAAACACTCCACTCTCCCCTTAGCCCCCAGCTTGAGCCCACACCCACACTTGGCCAGGCAGAGGGACGGTGGCTCACCCTGCCATACACTCTGCAGCCAGCCTCTGAGCCCCTGGATTCTCCGGTGCCCACCTGCTGTCCTCACTTGTCCTCCCTGCATCCCCTCCTCTGACACTGCTTCTCTTCCCACTGATTCCTGCCTCAATCCCACCCACTGGGAAGTCACCCCAGCTCCCCTTGATCCAGACTCATTTTCCTGAACCCCAAAGTCTCCACCTGCACTCCCACAGGCCCCCAGGAGCCCACTTACTCTGTTCCAAGGACACAGCCATCAATCTGCGGCAGACAGGGGCTCCCTCCCGCAAGCTGGAATCCCTGCTTGCGGCTTCAGGAGAACAGATTGCCTCCTCGGCTAGTCCCCTCCCCCGGCCTCTCCTCCATGGCTCCAGGCTGCCGGGGCTGCATCCTCGGTGGTTTCCTGTCCTGTGGTCCCCGAGCTGGTTCCCTTCTTTTACCCAAAAAGGGAATCCGAGGGAGGATGCTGAGAAGAAAGTTCACAGAATCCGAATGCTTCTTCCAGAAACTCAGCTTGGTGCTGAGGCTGCTGGGGTTTGTGGCTGCCGTCAGGTCTTTCCCTCCCTTCCTTTCCCTCCCTCTCTCCCCCTCCTCTCTTCCTTTTTCACTCCCCTTTTTTTCCTCGAGGGCCAGGTACTGACGTTTCACTGTCTCTTAGCAACTGCCTCCATATCTCTGAGCAACAGGAGCACTGTCTATGGACCCCACTAAGATGAGACAGAAAGAAGCAGTTGTAGAATTCACAGCCATCCACAGATCCTAGGGCAAGGGGGACAAGGGGCTGGGGGGGGGGTTGACAGAACAGGACAGGGGCAGCGGGGAGGGGCAGGCAGGGAGAGAAGGCAAAGGGCCCAGCAGGAATCTGAGATAGAGGAGGGGGAGTTTTGGGACTTCAGATCCAGAAGGGACAGTAAAGAGGACTTGGAATGGAGAATGGGACTTAGTGGGTGGTGGAGGGCAGGTGGAAAAAATGGGGGAGGCCATGAAGACATGAATAAGGATGGAAAGAAAAAAGGGAAGTGGATGAGACAAGTTGGCTCACTTGATGGGGTATAGCTATTCAGTCCACAGATAACATCTGCTTCCCTGAGTTCGAATATATTTTGGTCACCAGGTAGCAGGTGACTGGACTGGCTCAGGGCTTGACAGGTACAACTATAGGAGGTGAAACCTTTTCTTGGTTCCTTAATTGCCACTAAGTCCTGATGCCACAAGCTCTGAGGGCTTTTGGGAGGCAAAGGGTCAACTGCCAGGTCCAGATGCCTGGAGCTATAGAGACACTCAGTTCTGTCTGTAGGGCAGTGGGAGCTGCCAGAACACCTTGCGGTCCTGTTCTTTTTCTTCAGGCCCCCGGGACTGTCTGCTGATCTGCTCCCATCTCTCCAAGCTTCCAGTCCCTCCCACCCAGGCTGACGTCAGATGAGGGTGAAGTCTTTGCAGCACTTTTCGTCTTAATGACCCATTGAACAAGTCTCTAGCTGCCCTGCATTTTGATAACCAACTTGACTAGTTGGTTTGGTCAAAGAGCTGGCTCATGTCATTTTAAAAATAATTATTTATTGAGCACTTACTGTATGGCTTGTGCTTAGCTAGATTTTTTTTTTTTGCTCTGTGTGTTCACTCAGTTGATCTGGGGCCTCTTCTATTTAAGTAATATCTTAGGTCTTTGAGGGAAACTAAAATGGAGTAACAGAAAGTGGATGCTCAGTTGTATAGATCTGGGCTTTTATAAAGTTCTCAGGATCGTTGACTTCTCTTTTTCCTATATGGCCACAGAAGGTCTGCTTCCCTTCCCACTGTCCTCTCTCATATTCTGCTCATCGAATCTTTTATGTTCTACAGAGTCTAACACACAGTAACAGGGGAGCTACTCCATTAATACTTATACATTGCATTGGTTGAGGTAAATATGATTGCCACCCCCCCTCCACCTTAAAGAAGGGGATGATGGCTGTTCAACTCATTTATGAGCTTAGAAATAAAATCTTAATCTTTATGCAGAAAACACAGCAACACATTAGAACAAGTAATCCAGTATAATCAAGGAAAGCAAAGCTAGCATGATACCTTTTTAATAATAAATGAAAAATGGTAGAAAACATAATTATCTCAATAGAGGCTAAGAAAGGTAATAGCATATTTCTACATTTAATTTTAACTGAAGACACTTAAAAACAAATAAAAAAGAATGGAGATTTTTTCCCTTTTCATTATATACAGTTTATATTTAAAATTAGAAAAAATAATATGACTAAAGGAAAATGTGGCAGTTTCCTTAAAAAATAAGATCTTGGAGGAACTCCTCATCATCATTGGAAACTACAGTTTTCTGACCTGTAAAATTGGGATAATAATAATGGCATCGAGCTCATGAGGTTGTTTTAGATTATTAATAAAGCACTCAAAACAGTATAGAGTGAGTACTACACATGTGTTTGCTAAATGAATAAATCAAGTAAAATAAAATGGCAAAGTATAAAATTGAAATAGTTATGCAGCAAGGAAAACAATTGCATAAAAATGCGAACTAAAGAAAGAAAAATGTCACCTTTGCAGATGACTTGAATGTATTCTTGTGCAAGATAAGTCTCAAAAACTTCTAAGGTCCCCAACTCAAGAACATTATCATTGCATATAAGTCTTCTGTAAAAGTGAGGCTAAGTGGAGGCAGAAATCTTTTAGATAACTTTTAATTCATAATTATTCTATAATGATTGTTTCTCAAACCATTGTTTCTCAAACTAGTGTCTTATGGTATCCTGTGTGCTGTGAGAAAAATGTTCTCAAATAAGTTTGAGAAACATCGAGTTAAGCAAAATGAAACAAATTTATTTTTTTTGCAAGACTTCTCAAGGCTTTAATGTGTAAATGTTCATGGAGGCTCTCCAAGGGAAGGATGGAAGATGTATAATACCCAGCATTACCCTTATGCGGGGTGGCTGGCTACGCCCCTTAGCAATGTGACTTTCTCTTACACAGTAACCTTGCAGGGGGAGTGATTCAATTTTGAGTTCCAGCAAAATGTTAAATAATAACATATCATGGCCTTTTGGAGTCTCTTGCAAGTTACTGAAACTGTGACCATTCAGTCATAAATGTCAAGAATTACTCTACTGGGAAAATACACTGAAATTAGTCTAACAGTTAGAGACTACACATGAATTGAAAAATCATTTTCATCATTATGATTTCTTGGCATACATAGTAAATTAGTTGTAATAATGACAGGAAAACCTTTAAATACATGAGAATTAATTTAATCTACCACATAAGAAGTTTGTTCAGGGAAAATTATGAAACCTTAGTAGGATGAAGATGCAGGAAGAAATGGAAAGCTGATCTCTCCAGTTGCTGGAAACCTTTAAAAATAAAATAATGACTCTGCTTTCTACATTATAATAATTTAATGAAGTAGTTAGCAGAATGTGGTCAACTGGTAGTGAAAGCCATCTGGGAGGAAAATGGAGAGGATGCACAAATGATATTAATAAAGATGATGATGAAGGAAATGCTTGAAAATAATGGCAGTAGAGTTCCCTAACTAAAAGATTAAAAAATATATTGCAAACTGAAAATAAACCAATGGCATTACTCAACATTTGTGCTTTGAAAAATGACCCATGGGATAGACTAGATTTTGAGAAAGTGAGTCTCACCAGCAGAATACAGAAAATGAAAAATGGGAAACAAAACCACAATGTCGAAAGTAATTTTAGTGTAAGAAATGTATTGAGACCTTAGAACTATCCTTCATCTTTATACATTGAAAACCTTCCAAATGGTTCAAAGAACTAAACAGAGAAACAAACAAACCACAAAATACAAACCAGGAAGAGAACAGAACAGCACATTTGCCCCAGCTGTGGCGAGAAGATACCTTTCTGTGTGTTGATGACATGGGGAATGCCATTAGCACTAACATAGTTTTTGTCAAATAAACAACATTGTAGGCGACAAAGTTCCATTGAGCAAAAATGATTACAAAATCAGAGAGAAAGGAAAGAAATTCAGTGGAAAAATGGATTTTATACATAAGTGATTTGAAATAAATCATGCAAAATATATTAAGAAATGAGAACAGGCAAGACAGCTCTGGCGATGGTAGGGTGTTTGAGGGGTGGAGGGATTGAACAAAAAAGAAAGAAAGAAAGAGAGAGAACTCATGGATATGGACAACAGTGTGGTGATTGTGGGGTGTGTGTGTGTGTGTGTGTGTGTGTGTGTGTGTGTGGAGGTGGAAGAGGATACAGAGGGGGTAAATGGTGATAAAAAAGAGGAAATGCTATAAATCTAATTCTTATACATTGATAAAATAAATATTATTATACATTCCAGACCCTGTCCTAGGAACTAGGATACAGCCATGTTTCATATACAATGCGCACTATAATATTTTATGCTTTTACAAGCAATTTATTGTTTACATTTTGTGGTGTCATTTTATTCAGATGTTTTTTTGTAAGTGTTGCCTCTCTCAGGTGATATAACTAGCTTCATCCTATGAAATACGGGTTTTAATGAACCAAGAGGCAACCATAAGGAAAACATGATTTCTCCTGAGTGCTCTGAATATGAATTGAGAGGGCAATAAGATGTGTGTTATGGGCTTATAGAAACCACACTGCAATAACGACTGATAACATTATCCAGTTGTTTCCAACTGATTTTATATAGCTCTTGATGGCACTGTTCTGGCCATCACCTATAGAAAATGCTCTACTTAGAAATTTCCTTGGACCCTTTCTTGGTATCCTACCTCTCTCTTTTCTCTAGCTGTGTAGAGAAATATAAAAAAATATCATTCATACAAGCTCATTAACTTTGAAGAGCATCACTCCCTCCTCCTGTCTGGTTCCCTACATATTCCTGCTTTGTGGGTGCCTGCTGGGGCTGAGTACTTCCAAGATCTCCTCCATTTGTGATTCTGATGCTATCCAGATGCACTTCCTGGGCCCTGGACTCCACGGCCAGACCACAGAGCAATGCTTATTACCAGCATCCGACTCTGAATCATCCCTCTGTCACACGCAGGGGAGTCGCCTTCTCCCAGGCATTCTCCTAGAATTCTGGGAAGAGGATGGTGGGAGGCAACCCAAATCCTGTCCTGGATTTCCTGGAAAAGGAGAGCAGCAGTATGCAAGGAAAAAGAGATGAGAGGCAGGGACTGGGAAAGGCTGCAGACTTTCTTCCCAGACCATATAAGACCTACTTCTAGGATGATGCCCAATAAGTCTCCCCAAACGAGGTTTTGCCTGGAAGCACCCTGAAGTTGCAATGAGGTCATGACCGCCTTTGTGACCTATGCCCTCTTGCTCTGCCTCACCTATCCACATGGATAAAATGCAACATCTATCCCTTGTTTTAGGTATGGAAAAACTGTCATGTCTGGAGTGGCTTATTCCTGCCCGTGCCAGCGAGCCACCATTGATGACTTCTTCGTTTCCTCACAATTTTCAACTTCACCCAGGGGCTGCAGGATTACAGCCAGAGGAACTTGGTCGAAGCTGTTTTCTGGCTCTGCCGCTGGGGATGGCAATGCATAGCTAGCATTTACTGAGCATCTACTTTGTGCAGGCACTAGCATAGGTGCTTTATGGGGGTTGTCTTATCAAGTTCTTATGGCATCCCCAGGAGGGGGGTTCTTTTCTTAAAAAAAATTACAATTAAATAATTTACGAAGATAACAGAGTTAGTAGGTAGACTTATGATTGTCACGCATTAAATGCTTTCTTTGTGTTTAGTGTTTTATATATGCCATCTTTTAAAAACCCTGAAATAATTTGAAATGTTAGTATGATAGCCCTATCTTTTACATAGGAAAATTAAGGAGCAGAGAAATTTAGTAACTTGCCTAAACTCCCATAACTTGTAAATGGCAGGAAGAACTTCAACTTGGTTATTTTCCTTCCAAAACTCAAGCCAACTCTGTCTTTATGAACCTCAGCCTTCTCTCTCTGTTAAATGGGGATAATAATTCTCTTGGTTACCAAACAGGCTTAAAGCAGAACATGCCTGTGGAATCTGTAGAGTAGAACAGAGGCTCGCCATTCTGGTGAGTGGCTGTGAAGGGATGTGCCTTCCCAGGCATACTTTCCCTCAGCCAGGTCTGCTCCAGGCCTGGGAACACAGAGACGGGGAGAGCTTGGGCAGCCACAGTGTCCCTGACATCTGTTACAGGAATGGCCTTGTCAAATTAGGTTGGGTTTCCTTGAATATTCTAGTGGAATTGGCATTAGAGAAACATACACAGAACACAGCAGCCACTGGAAGTTTAATTAAAGAGAAGGGATTGCCCAGTCCACCTGTGGCCAGGTAGGAGTGATTCTGTGGCCTCCCCAGGTAGCTTCTGGTGGAGAGGGTGAAGCACAAGACCTAGGGCCAGCAGCAGGGGCCCAACTCCCCACATGCTCCTTGTCAGCTGTGTGAGTGTAGGTTAGTTTCCCAAGCCCTCTGAGCCTTGATATCCCTCTGTGCAAATGGAAAAAGCCCCTTCCTTGCTCAGTGAATTGCTAAGGGCATTTCATAAACTATTGAGCACTCTATACATATGATGTTAATCTTCCCTCCTTTAGTAATAAACAAGAGAGGCTGGGGCTGCCTCATTTGACAGATTTGTAGGTCTGGCTCCAAGATCTCATGAGAATTGGCTAACCTCCTGATCAAGTTTTACAGATCAGAGAAGCAAAGATGAAAGAGATACAGATTGCTTTACTCTATTTCCATGAAAACAGTCATCTGTTCACTCACCTAATTGCTGACTTTTCCAGAACTTCTACATGACTGGGTCCTGCGTGTTGCACTGCTGGGATGGGTGTGGGGAAGAAAACTCATTGGTCTTCCATGATAGAAGTTTAACGTTTTAGATGAAGAAACAAGACTGCCACCAATCCAGAATAATTAGATATGGAATTTAACTCAGTGCTGGCTGAGGAATGGAAGTTCTGAGAAAAGAAATGGATGGAAAGGTGAGAGTAATCAGAGAAAGCTTCTGGGCAGAGGGGCTTGAGATGGGCTGAGAAGAGCAGGGAAAGTAGTAGTGGCTGCAGTGACATTCTACCTCCACCGACGTTGTGGGGACATTGCTATCATCCCACTGCTAAAAAGCCTGGAGGGCTGACTCTATCCCAGGTACAGAGCCAAATCCTTGACATCATTAAAACCTCCCAACTCTTTGAGGTTGACACCATCATATGCCCATTTTACAGATGAGAAAACAGGCAGGTGAAGTAAAGTATCCAGGTCCCATACCTAACTCTGGTATATCTAGTAAATTCAGGGCCTGTGACCCAATGTGGAGCACCTGATGGGGCTGCATGAAATACTGTTTGTTGTCCATCCAGACAGAAAGAGGGGCCAGTGGACAGAATGTTGGGTCTGTTAGGAGCAGAAAAGAAGGAATTTCTTTCTTACTCATTCTTTTGTTTCTCTCTATTTCCAGGAGAGACATCTGGGGCTAAGGTGTTTCTACCTGGGAGGAGCCTGTGGCACAGAAAGGGGGCTGGATGCTTTGGGCTTGGCTCAGGCTCTGAATTCAGAAGACAGTGTGGGACCCAAGCCTGCATTGTGTAGCCCCTCAGTACAGCACATGAGGTAATGGGAGAGGGGCTGTAACAGGAATCCATACCTGCAGCCATAGCATGGCCCTTGGAGGGATGGGGGGGCATGGAGGTCAAGCTCGACTGGCCCCATGAAGTGGAAGATTGATAATCCCAAGAATGAGAATTGGATAACCTCCTGATCTTTGGCAGCCCAGGTGAAGGAGTCCTGAACTGAGAAATCAGGCAATGCTCAACTCTCCATCAAATTTTCTGTAGGACCTTGAGGCAAGTCGCATTCCCTCTTTGGGCCTCAGTTTCTTTATCTAGGAAAATGGGACATTTGGACCAGATAAGTTCTGAGTAGATTGGGTGACTGTAGAGTTCTAATAAGGACAGTGACTAAGCATTTATCATGATGTGAGATGATAGTTAATCATTCTTTTCTGTAAGAAGCTGATTCCCTTGGCCTGACTGCTTGGCTCTGAAGTCTCAGGTCTCAGACTCGACATCAATAAGGAGCTGGAGAGAGGGTGAGGGCCTCTCCCCTACCCCGGGTAAGTGGAGACCACCAGGGCCAGGGAAATGAAGCAGCCACGGCTTGCATCCCAGAATAGCTGCAGTCCTCCTGGCATCTGCCATCCTGGCTGCAAACTCTCATCCCATTGGCTCCTCCCTATCTCTGCCGTCTGGCTGGCACTGCTTTCCAGGTTCTTGTGGCTTCCACTAAGCAACCCTCCTTGTGTGCTATAGCATGCTGGCTTCTTCCTGCCAGCCAATGGGATAACAATAGCAACTCTTGTCTGGTTCTCTCGATTCGGCCTTACTTCACCTCCCTGATGGATGAAGACAGAGGGGGAGCTTAGGACAGTGAAAAGAGGACTGGAGGTGGTGCCAGGGATATTGAGTTCTTGCCATGTGCCTGGACACAACCGAAACATCTCTTTTGGCTTCAATATCTTCACTTGTACAATGAGAAGAATCAGGCTAGTGTTTCACTGCTGTTGAGCAGGGTGCCTCTCTCACTGTTCAGAGCTGGGGTCCTGTTATGGACTGTAGGTCTGTGTCCTCCCTAGATTCATATGTTGCAAGTATAACTCCCATTATGATGGTATTTGGAGATGTGGCTTTGGGAGGTAATTTAGTCATGAAGGATAGAACTATCATGATCAGGATTAGTGCCCTGATAAGAAGAGGCCAGAGAGCTGGCAAGCTTTCTTCCTGCCATGTGAGGATACAATGAGAAGTTATCAGTCTGCAAGCCAGAACACAACCATGCTGGCACCTTGATCTCAGACTTCCAGCCTCCAGAACTGTGAGAAATAAATTTCTTTTGTTTATAAACCACCTAGCCTGTGGTATCTTGTTATAACAACCCGAAAATAATAGGTCCATGCCAGTGCCCATGTCATGCTGGTTGTTCAATATTTTCGCCAAACTTATAGAGAAAGAAAAGGAGGGAGCCAAGTAGAACATAAAAATATGAATGATAGAGAGGAGAGAGCAGAGAGTTTTGGTGACATAAATCCTGGCCTTCGCAGTCCCTAATGTCCTGCTTCTTACAGTTCTTCCTCAAAGACGAGTAAAGCAGGGGCAAAGCATGGGGGACACTTTTACAGTTTTACTTTGTCGACCAGAGGTGGCTTTTCTGAGAAGGTTCAATGTGATCTCTTATCTGAATAGAGTAGAGGAGTGGGCCTTATAAATACAAAGAAGAGAATTCCAGGCAGAGGGAATAGAAAGTGCAAAGCACCTGAGGTGGGAGGGCACTAGTGTCTTCAAGGCACAAGTAGGCCAAGTGTGTCTGGAGTTGAGTGAGAAAGTGATAACATTCTGGGATCTCTCTCATGTAGGGTCTGTCATAAACCACTGTTTCTACAGGGATCCCGGGAAGGGAAGGCTTCCTTGTGGTTAGAGTAGACAGAAATGCTTCAAGGGAAAGGACTTTTTTCATTACAATTGTTGAGGTGTGACATTCCATGAACACATGCCAATTTCTTCCCCCGGTGTGTTTGTTCCTTTTTTCATTCAACAAGAATTTATTGAGTATGTGATATCTGCCAAGGAATGCAGACAACACTGAATGTACAATGATGAATCAGTCACGGTTCTGCTTTCAAGGATCTCAGTCTGAGTGAGTGTGGAGGAGGCAGCCATGTAAACAGATAATTAGAGAGAAACATGGCAGGTACTGAAGCCAAGGTAGGAACACAGTGCCGCTGGAGGATACAGGAGGAGAGGGAAGGTTTTACCTAGAAGAGTCAGTGTGGTGTGTATAGAGGAGGTAACCTCTCTTCTGATCATTGACGATCAAGGGAAGTTTGACTAGTAGAGAGCAGCTGGGAGGGATAGCATGTGCTAATAGCACGCAGTCATATCTCACGTAGCAGTATGTTTGCCAATACATCTCCTAGGGTAAGGGAAACAAATAAAAAAACAACAAACACATGGGACTATATCAAAGTAAAAAGCTTCTGTATGGCAAAAGAAACCATCATCAAAATGAAAAGGGAACCCACTGTATGGGAGAATATATTTGCCAATGATACAGCTGATAAGGGGTTAATCCAAGATATATAAAGAACTTATACAACTTAACACTAGGAAGACAAGCAATCCATTTAAAAAATGGACAAAGGACTGAAATAGATAATTCTCCAAAGAGGACATATAGAAGGTCAATAGACATATGAAAAAATGCTTAATGTCACTAATCATCAGAAAGATGCAAATTAAAACTAAATGAAGTGTCACCTTCCACCTGCCAGAATGGCTACCATCAATAAATCAACAAATACTAAATGCTGGTGAGGATGTGGAGAAAAGAGAACCCTCATACACTGCTGGTGGGAATGTATACTGGTGCAGCCACTGTAGAAAACAGTATGGAGTTTTCTCAAAACATTAATAATGAAACTGCCTTTTGGCCCAGTGATCCCACATGTGGGACTATATCCTAAGAATCCTGAAACATCAATCAGAAAGAATATATGCTCCTCTTTATATGCACCCTTATGTTCATTGCAATGTTATTTAAAATAGTTAAGATCTGAAAACAGCCCATGACCATCAGTAAGTGAGCTGATAAAAAGCTGTGGTACACTTACACAATGGAATACTATGCAGCTGTAGAAAAGAAGGAACGTTTACCCTTTGGGACAGGAGGGATGGACCCAGAGATTATTATGCTGAGCGAAATAAGGCAGCCAGAGAAAGAAAAATAGCACATGCTCTCACTTATATGTTGAATCTAATGAATAAAATAAACTGAGGAACCAAATAGGTCCAGAGGCATGGATACATGGAACAGACTGATAGATCTCAGAGGATATAGGTGTGGGGGGGCACTGGAAGAGATTAACCAGAGAACATATATGCGTAAATGCATAGCCCATGGACACACATAATAATGTGGTGAAGGGCTGAGGGAGGTGGGGACTGAGTGGAGGGGGCAAAGGGAGGAAATGGGTGACATCTGTAATATTGTCAACAACAACAAAAAGAGTATGCAGTCATGGGAAAGGATGAAATTGGAAAATGGCAAATACTCAGAGCACAGGGTTTTAGGACTGGAAAGCTTGTGAATATAGTAGAGGTGGCTGGTTGAGGCGAACTCAGTCTGCGCTGGGTGTTTAGACTTTATTCTGTTGATTTGGAGAATCCCTGGAGACTTTTAAGTAAGGGAGTAAACAGATTAGATTGTTTGATGGGAAATTATATGGAACGATAGGATACAATATGATGTGATATAACATGAGAATAATGGAAAATGGTCTGAAGAGCAAACAGTTGTTTAGGTTGAGACAGGGTCACAGTCTCTAATGGGGCCGGTGATGACAAATGAGAACGAGGAGGTCAGCAGGTTGTGTGGACCCTGCCCTGTCTCAAGAGGGGAGCTGCTACTTGACGCAGGGAATTGTTGCCCCAATGGGGACTCAGGTTCAGGGCTCCCAGAGCTACTGAGGTTTCTGAGAGCAGCTGGGAATCCAGATCCTTATGTAAAATCTCACCATTTTTAAATGTTGGCAACTAATATTGATTCACAAAATGCAGTGTGGGCCAAATATAACACATCTGTCAGCCTGATCTGTCTGCGGGCTCCTGGTTTACAACTTCTGGGTTGAGAAAAGAGTTTTCTTTTTTTCTGTAGAGAGCGATCAAAATAGTTTCAGATGCAATGATTCATGCCTGGAATGACCTTCTTTCATCTTATTCTAGCAAATTCTTGATATTACTTAAGACTCAGTTCAATTGTCCTCTGTGATGTTTTCCCTATCATGCCTTCCTCCCTGCCACACTCCCTCTGGTCACCTCTCAAATCCCCCAAGCAGTTATCATGTCTTGGTGCTGCTCCACTGCATCTTTTAAATGCCCTGGTACCTGAAGCAAGCAAGCAAGCAAGCAAGAAAACAAACAAACAAATGCTGTGGTGCAGGAGAGAAGCCAGGGTTAGAATACAGACATATTGCTAAATGGATGGAATCACAACTTGAAGGAGAAAGGAATAAAGCTCACAATACAGGCCCTCAGAAACCCGGAAGGACCTAGCCTGGGATGGGAAGAAGCAGACCAGATCTGAACAGAAAGACGAGATGCTAGAGAACAAGTTGGACTGTGTGGACTTAGAAAGCTCAGCACTGTGAGTTTCTGTAGGAGGACTTGATTCTTAAGCAGAGGTAGGTTCCTATCTCGAGTCTGTCTTTAGTTACCACAACCCTGAGACACTGAAGGCTGACTTGGGAATTTCCTGTGAAAGGATTTCAGATATGAGGTAGAGTGGACATCTGCTGTTTTGCTATCCAACTTCCTTTCATCTTTTTCTTGGTGTCTCTGGGAATCCATCCTTCCCCTATTTTTGGTTCGTGGGCTTCTTGCTTGAGAGTTGAGTATGTGACTCAGACACGGCTCATCAAGGCTCCTCACTCCCTGGACACAGTGGTCAGTGCAGGGATGGTTGCATAACCTGAGTCGGGTCAGAGAGAATCAGGTTCAGGACTTTCCTTGAGTCACTGAGAGAGGCATTTGTTCTTTCCTGCTGGATTTGGACCTGGGAGGTTATAGGTTGAGAGCAATCGTCAGCCACCATGAAGAGCCTAAGAAGAAATTCAACATGGAGAAGGGACAGCTGATGGAAAGAGATCTTGGTACAGGTGGGATCAAACCATAACTAAAGTTAGTAAACCCTAGCTCTTTTGTTATTGTGGTCGGTACATTTTCTTCCCTTAAATCAGTTTGAGTTAGGCTTTCTTTTGTCACTTGCAACCAATAGGTGGTTCTCCAACTTCAATGTGAACCATGAAGAATGAGACCTTCGGTCAACTTGCAAAGCATTTCTACATTCATTGCCTTATCTGAATCTTCCAGCTCTCCTGGGAAGTAGGGAAAGCAAATTATTATTCCAATACCACAGAGGAGGCAGTTGAGTCTTAACAGGGTATGCATCCACACTCAGAGGGCGAGGAAAGCCAGGATGGAAATCTGTTATTTTGAGCTTCTCTGAACTGCTAAATGTCATAGTAAATTAGATTCCGATAATGCCCAACTAAATTACACTAAG